GCCAAGTGTGCAAAGCTGTCATCAAGGCAAAGGGCATTGAAGATGAAACGTGGCTGGGTCTTTCAGCATGACAATGATCCCAAACACACCGCCCGGGCAACGAAGGAGTGGCTTCGTAAGAAGCATTTCAAGGTCCTGGAGTGGCCTAGCCAGTCTCCAGATCTCAACCCCATAGAAAATCTTTGGAGGGAGTTGAAAGTCTGTGTTGCCCAGCGACAGCCCCAAAACATCACTGCTCTAGAGGAGATCTGCATGGAGGAATGGTCCAAAATACCAGCAACAGTGTGTGAAAACCTTGTGAAGACTTACAGAAAACGTTTGACCTGTGTCATTGCCAACAAAGGGTATATAACGTGTACTCCTGAGTGGCGCAGTGGTCTAAGGCACTGCATCGCAGTGCTAACTGTGCCACTAGAGATCCTGGTTCGAATCCAGGCTCTGTCGCAGCCGACCGCGACCGGGAGTCTCATGGGCGGCGCACAATTGGCCCAGCGTCGTCCAGGGTAGGGGAGGGAATGGCCGGCAGGGTGTTTGCAACGCCAGGGTTGTGGGTTCGATTCCCACGGGGGGCCAGTATAAAAAAATATGTATTCACTAACTGTAAGTCGCTCTGGATAAGAGCGTCTGCTAAATGACTAAAATGTAAATGTAAATAACAAAGTATTGAGAAACTTTTGTTATTGACCAAATACTTATTTTCCACCATCATTTGCAAATAAATTCATTAAAAATCCTACAATGTGATTTTCTTGATTTTTTTTCCTCATTTTGTCTGTCATAGTTGACGTGTACCTATGATGAAAATTACAGGCCTCTCTCATCTTTTTAAGTGGGAGAACTTGCACAATTGGTGGTTGACTAAATACTTTTTTCCCCCACTGTAGGTGGAGTTATGGTCCAATTTGCATATATTCACTTTTATTCCTCTAAGTACACCTTGAACTGCATGAAAATCCTTTTTCTTTTTGCTTCAAACTATTTTGAAATGTTGATCCCAATGTCACACATTTCACCCCATTATTTATAGAAAGATCCAATTAAACTCCAACGTTGATCCCTACTGTATTGGTAGCCCAAAGGCAGGCAGATGGCGATATTGATCCGTTTCGTCTTACCGTCCAAAGGCATTGTATGCAGCTGGCAGATTTTTCGTTAGCCTGTAATAGCCGGCTTTTGACCCATTTTTTTTTTGTTGAAAAGCAGTTAAATAAAAGGGAGAAGAAAATAAATCCCATTGTGAAAATAATTATTTTTAGCCTATTCATTGATGGAAATACCAGTTGATGAAAATACATTTGACTGGTCATGCTTATCAGTCGATGGGTTAATTTGAATAATTTTGTGGAATTAAATTGGCACGTGTGAATATTCATTATGCATCTTATTTATCACACGCACACAGATACAGAGCCTTTAAGCCAAAAATCTGCCAGACAGCGCATTTATAAGCCCAATCATTGCGCAACATTTCTATACTGAACAAAAATATAAACACAACATGTAAAGTGTTGGTCCCATGTTTCATGAGCTAAAATAAAAGATGCCAGAAATGTTCCATAGGCACACAATTCTTATTTCTCTCAGATTTGGTGCACAAATTTGTTTACATCGCTGTTAGTGAGCATTTCTCCTTTGCCAAGATAAACCAGCCACCTGACAGGTGTGGCATATCAAGAAGCTGATTAAACAGCATGATCATTAGACAGGTGCACCTTGTGCTGGGGACAATAAAAGGCCAGTTTAAAATGGGCAGTTGTCACACAACACAATGCCACAGATGTCTAAAGTTTTGAGGGAGCGTGCAATCTGGCGTGCTGACTGCAGGAATGTCCACCAGAGCTGTTGCCAGAGAACTGAATGTAATTTCTCTACCAGAAGCCGCCTCCGCTGTTTTAGAGAATTTGGCAGTACGTCCAACCGGCCTAACAAACGCAGACCATGTGTAACCACGCCAGCCCAGGACCTCCACATCCGGCTTCTTCACCTGCGGGATCATCTTAGACCAGCTACCCGGACAGCTGATGATACTGAGGGTTTGCACAAACTGTCAGAAACCGTCTCAGGGAAGCTCAAATGCGTGCTCGTCATCCTCACCAGAGTCTTGACCTGACTGCAGTTTGGCGTCGTAACCAACTTCAGTGGGCAAATGCTCAACCGATGGTCACTGGCACGCTGGAGAAGTGTGCTCTTCACGGATAAATCCCGGTTTCAACTGTACCAGGCAGATGGCAGACAGCGTGTATGGCGTCGTGTGGGCGAGCGGTTTGCTGATGTCACCATGATGCCGGTGGGGTTATGGTAGGGGCAGGCATAAGCTAAGGCCAATGAACACAATTGCATTTTATCAATGGCAATTTGAATGCACAGAGATACCGTGACGAGATCCTGAGGCCCATTGTTGTGCCATTCATCTGCCGCCATCGCCTCATGTTTCAGCATGATAATGCACAGTCCCATGTCGCAAGGATCTGTACACAATTCCTGGAAGCTGAAAATGTCCCTGTTCTTCCATGGCCTGCATACTCAGACATGTCACCCATTGAGCATGTTTGGGATGCTCTGGATCGACGTGTACGACAGCGCGTTCCAGTTCCTAGCCAATATCCAGCAACTTCGCACAGCCATTGAAGAGGAGCGGGACAACATTCCACCGGCCACAATCAACTCTAAGCGAAGGAGATGTGTCGCGCTGCATGAGGCAAATGGTGGTCACACCAGATACTGACTGGTTTTCTTATCCACAGCCCTACTTTTTTTTTTTAAAGGTATCTGTGACCAACAGATGCATATCTGTATTCCCAGTCATGTGAAATCCATAGATTAGGGCCTAATGAATTTATTTCAATTGACTGATTTCCTTATATGAACTGTAACTCAATAAAACCTTTGAAATTGTTGCATGTTGCGTTTATTTTCATTCAGTGTATTAAAAATAGTTTTTGGGCGCTTCCAATTCGCCATTCAAATGCATAGGCAACGGAAGGCAGGCTTCATCAGCACGTCACACACCAGTTTGCAATGAGCTGGAGGCAGTATGCATTTTGAAAACATATAGCTACTTAATTGTTTGAAACCTGAACGTTTTACTACATATTAGGAGGCATGTTTGTACTTTGCTTCAACGTAGCCTAGGCAAAATCTGACCATATCCGTGGAGGCAATTATTTTATAAAGATTCCCATATGCCATTGAAACCAGTAGCCTATTTCTCTCATGTTCTATTGGTTTTCAACTTTCTTTCATTGTCCTGTAGCCAAATGCACGTAGCATACTCCCTTGTGCGCATTGCTGCGCTAAATGTTAAGAAATAATAGTTTATCAACATTTTAAGCTTAAACGTTCTTGCGTCAGATTCATTGCTTTAAAAATATATATATATGATGTAGCCTAGGCCTACTGGTATGAATTTGGGATATATCATCTCACAACTGTCCCAGAGTCTGTTTGGGCTATTTCTTTCTCGACAAGCTGACCAATAGAATAGGTTAACTTTTCTACAATGGGGGATAAGGAGATTGACATAGGCGCTGCGTCCATAAAGCTAGGGGAAGCTAAGCTTGCCCTAAGTAAATTGCAAAAAGTAGATTGCCTAATTAGCCTACTCCTGTCTATACACAAGCTAACTGACCACATTCAGAATTTCAAACATGTAATTCAATAAAATAAGGACATTAAGCTTTTTATTGAGATTTAAAAACCACATGTAATACAAAGTTTGACATTTATTGCAGTAAATGTACACATTATTTACGCACTCTGAAAACACAACTCAAATTCATGTTACCTTCAGTGGTTTCACAGACGTGGTTCTGGATTAATCAGAAATTCCCCTCAACCTAGACAATCATGGACCTACCAGAACTGCGGACATGGGTCATTTAGGATTTGAAAAACCAAGCATCTATGAAAGGTTGGCCCAAGCGACATAAAACAGTATGAGAAAATACCAAATTAAAAACAAATGCATTGCTCTACTAAAATTAGGCCTACTTGAAACTCAGTGACAGGAATTAGCCTCATTCAGAACATGGAAGATTGCACTATACTATGTTTACCCAAATGTCACTTTTGGTACAGTATTATTGCAATAGGAAGGGAACACTATCTAGCTCTTCAACCAAGGTGCATGAATTGAGGAGCAAACTAAAGTGAATGAATACAGCTATAAGCAAAAACATAGTAAAAATGATGAATAAACAAATGTAAAATGTACAGTGGATTGATGTACAATATGGGGGAGAGAGATACAGTGTCTCGATAGATATCCTCTAGGCTATATAATGCAGTCGGTCAGTGGCAGAGTTTAAATTGGCAGGTGCATACATAAAGGAATGCACAGATTGAATTTATACTGGAATTTCAATGGTCAGGACTATTGATGTCATGATATAGCCCAATACATGCATACACGTTTATGTAGGCTAACATTTGTCCAGGGTCTGTGAAACCAAGCCATCCATTTAAGTGATAACTATTGACCATTTTTGTAAACATTAAAATGTCACCTAAAGATGATAAAATAATTATAGAAAACATTGACTAAATTGAGAGACTCAATTGAGCAAGGAGACTAAAACCTATAAAAAATCTCACAAGCGGTCCGGTTTGAAATGTTACTCCTCTGGTTATGTCAAAGTAGGCCTAGTGATCAGGACTGACAGCCAACAAAAAAGTACAGAAGTTTAAAGCATAAAAATATCTGTGGAGTAATGTTGATAAGCAAACTAAAAGGAACAAAACCCTCACAAGTAGTGAATATCTGTACATTTTAATGTAGAAATTTGAGAGATGTTGGGTTCAAATCAAATGTATTTGTCACACGCATCGTAAACAACAGGTGTAGACTAACAGTACTTGTGCTGGTCGGACTGTTGCTAGACAACGTCCTGCTTACGGCCCCGAGAAAGCTAGTGCGGTCACTGGGGGTAAACTGGCTTGGTGTCTTCTGTATATTCATCCGTATTCTCTTTCACTTTCCTCCATTCACCTTCCTGGTTTCCTCAGTTCACCAATCCTGTTTCACTATCCTCAATTACCTTCCTTGTTTTATCTTCCTGATCAGATTCTTCCACTGGAGGGAATCCTTCCTGGCTTTTTTCGTTGGAGTTGCAGGATCGTTTGACCGGAGGTTCACTGTTGGCCTTATCTTGCTCTGCCTCTATCTTATCTTTGTTTGCTGCACTAGGGGGATGGCCCCTTTTCTGTGGGGGACCATCATAGATGGGGGGTTTGGGATTGGGGGCTTTCCGCAAGTGAGCACCTCTTTTATCCTTTGTCTTGCGTGGGCGGCCTCTTCCTCTAGGCTCAATGACTGGAGGATCAATGCGGGGATAGATGCGCGGCCTTCCGAGTGGCTTCAACACTCTTGGTTGGCTTTCCAGTTTCTTTCTCTCCTCTTCCTCCTCGGGTGTTAGGATCTTCTTTGGCCTACCCCTTTTTGATTTAACTTTACTGGGCCGGCCACACTTCTTAGAGGGGCCAACCACTTTACGGGGTCGGCCTCGCGACGGCTTGCCTATAACTTTCAGCATCTTGGGCTTTGTGAACACTGATCCTTTGGCCTTTCCCCTCTTCGGTGTTATGGGGCTAGCACCTAACTTGGATGCTAATCTTTTTGGCCGACCCTTTTTAGGTGTTGTGGTGCTACTATTAGACAACTTAGTGACTGATCTTTTGGGCCTACCCTGTTCCCTCTTAGTTGTTGTGGAGCTACCATTGGATAAGGCTCGATCTGATTCAGAGATGGATCGGTTCTTGGGCGGCCTACCCCTGCTCCTCTTAAGGGTTGTGCGGCTACCATTAGACAAAGCTTCATCTGACTTCTCTTCGCTGCCAGCAGCATCCACCTGCACTTCTTCAGACTTGATTGCCTCTTCTTCCACCTCCATTTTAATCTCCTCCTTTCGTTCTATTCTCTCAACCTGGCTCCCTCTTTTCAGTGGCCCACTGTAAAAGACATTCACATGGTTACTTAAAACAAATATTCTTCATGGCTCCCTCCATTGCTTTGAAAACCTCAATTCAGCAGGTTGGATAATCAACAGAAACAAAATGGTCTAGAATCGATATAACGTGAGCTGGAAAATGTTACCCTAAATATGTTATTTTGTTTAGGCCTATTTTGTGTCAGGTGAAATTCCTGTAACACCGCCGGCCAGAATTACTCAATTTTATCAAAGGCAGGTTAGTCAGGCATTTAAAATTATGCTGAAATTAGTGGCATGTAATGGCAATTTTATCATAACGTTTCCAGCCCAGAACCACGTTACCCTGGTGAGACATGGGCCAAATTGACAAATAAAAACCGTCATCGAAAAGAATAGCCTACTTATTGTAACCACCAAACGAGAAGAAATGTGTCGATCAATATTTTTAAAAAAACTGGACACCAGTTTTATTTATTTTTATATATATATATATATATATATATAAATAAAAATAGGCTAGGACTGCAGAGACGCTAATATAACAAACCATTTTGATCTTCGTTATAAATGACAATAACCGTTTTTAAATGGTTTCAAATGACTTTTCATGGCACAAGTGTTGGTATTTGGGAGGTAGCTCAGTTGGTAGAGCATGGCGTTTGCAACGCCAGGGTTGTGGGTTCGATTCCCACGGGGGGCCAGTATGAAAATAAAAAAGAATAATGTATGCACTAACTGTAAGTCTGCTAAATGACGTAAATGTAAATTTGTCCACGTTTTGTAATCCCACCCCACTGACACTTTTTCCACAAGCAACAAAACAGCATGGTGAGAAAAGGATTATGGCAGAAGACCGTTCTTCTAACACAAGACTTCTCTTTAGTTAGCTAGCTAGCTAGCGGTACTGATATTAGCTAGCTACCAAGACGTTAGCCTAATACCACAGTTTAACCCACATTACCCAGCTAGTTCGTAACGTTACTAACTAGCCACAACAGTGCCGACAATTTGAGGCTAAACAAAGAAAAGCATACACGGCAATGACGCAAACTGGGTTCTTGGATAATAAATTATTCTAGCTAACTAGCTAGTGACACATATTGTTAGCTTTATTGCTAGTTGACGTCTGGTTTAATAAAAATACACGGTATTCATGCATTACCTTGGGAAAAAACCTTCCTTTCACCACACGAAGGTCGAGCGATGGTTTCTATGTCGTTGTTTGTAGCTACTCCGTCTGAGAATAATAACTAACAAATCTTTATCAGCGGTTCGTCAGCAACAATAATAAAAACTACTTTCGGGTCACGGAATTTCCAAACATTTCTAAATAAAGGTCCCCCACGTAATAGTAGAATAGTGTCAGTAACCTGTATTTATCCATGATATATGAAAAATATTTGTCTGAACATTAACAATGATTAATGTGCTAATATTTAAGTGACATTTGCATAAATGTGGGGTTTAAAACATCTTCCAAGGTCAAATAAATGCCCCAATGGAAATCACTGTATGAAATACATATTGGCTTATAGAGCAAAAATTCTCGGTGCAGCAGTAAAAGTATTGTAGCGAATACTCAGTAGGGTCTGTAGAATGTATATATGGTGTCATTTCATGGGGCACTGAATAATAGAGTGTTGCTGGCCTTTTACTCCACCCACTGTACTTGTGCTGTGGCAATAAAACTTAACTTGAAACTAATTTGAAACTTCTGTGTAACTGTTGATGATCAATTTGATTAATTAACTTCATTGTGATATTTGTTATGAAAAAAGTTTGCTTTCTTGGACCAAATTTACTTGCATCTCTTGACTTTTTGAATAAACATATTGTATGTTGTATTTTTTCCAGTGTCCACCGATGGAAGATTATAAGATATGTCTTTTAAATTATAAAGTATTTTGGTATGACAATATATTTGTCCTATGACACAGTGCTATATTTGAACCGTATAGTGACCTGTCACCCCATTTTAAGCTGTTTGACCACAGTATAAAAAACTCACAAACTCTGAATGACGAAATATTTGTATTTATTAGCAAAAGCTGGTAAGACACATGCTGGGCACAGCACATAGCGTTATGGTTTCACAGAACAAGGATAAGATGCATGAGGCTTTAAGCCACTAGTGACTAGGCCATATAATCATCCAGGAATACATCTCAAGCAAACTGGAAATTAAATTAAAACCGTGATAGGATCTGTAAGAACCAATAAATACTTTTAAGCATAGCACCAGTCATATACATAACATACAATGACATATTAAAAACAGCCATTTCTTATTGTGCTCCACCTTTTATAATATTCTTTATCTTCTATAAAGCAGTAATTCTCTTTAGTTTAGATTTTCCCTGATGTAGTTATAATTTTGTAACAATTTGAACATTATGCACTAGGACTATGCAAAGCTGCAAAAAGATATATTGATTTCGTATCATACACATAGCGTTTTACCGCAGACCTTTATTTTGAAGGCAAAACCGGAAGTCTTAATGCTGCTGCCTGTAAATTAATCAAATCTTTGCAGCTGTATTTGAATTTGCAACTGCTTCTGGTCAACCAAGGTTAATTTAACTAAGGGTTCCGCATTTGCAAAATTCTACTTTGTTCTTATTTTTCTTCTGTGGGGTATCATGGTGGTTGACATAATTTGTTCTGCTCATAGTATTTACTATAGTGTAGGAAACTGGCCATTGTTAATTTATATAATTTTACTCCATAATAAAAAATAAAAAACACCCATAATTTATCTTCATAAATCACTCCTCTATGCTTTCTGCTTATTCAACCTATATGTAAGCTATATATCCTTCCTTGTTTACTTCCATCCTTCCTTGTTTCTTTACTTCCTTTCCTTTATATAGTAAGATACAGTACTTTGGGAACAGTCCCTCATTGTGCATGACAGTGTTCGTGTTGTGTGGGACAAAGGTTTAAATTGGTCTTGCCCAATTTGTAGTTTTATACTAAACAGGAATTAGTGTCTTTGAACTGATGTCATCCTGTTCTATGTTTCCTGGCAGGTCACTGTCCCCCTGAGTCACCTGATCAACACCCTCCACTCCCTGAAGAGCTCAATAGGAAGCAGCAGCAGTGTCACTGCTAAACCTCCGCACAGACAGCATGCCTCAGAACAGGACTTGCATAGTACTGAGGTAAACACACATATGTGGCCTACAGATTGCAGGCCTGCCAAGAACAAAGACAAAGCAGCTGGCAAATACTGCTCTGTGTCAGCGGTCATGGGCAGCCTAGTTATATGGGGAAGAAGGTGCTTTCTGTATCCACAAGTGTCCATGTATCTGTAACCTTTGAAATGTTTGAATCCTTTTGATATGGAATATGATTTGTGGATTCAAATAAACCATTTAAAATGTCTGTGTGTGTGTGTCCGTCTCTGTTTGTGCGTGTATGTGTAGCCCACGTGGAGCCTGAGGGACCTGGGCCTGTCTGACCTGGGCGTGCGGCAGCTGGAAGAGCTAGTGAGCGGTATGTTACCACGTCTGAGTCAACAGGGGGCGCCGTCCTCATCCAGCCCCAGCCAACAGGCCTGGAGGACCTCCCACCTGTCTTCACAGTCGTTCTTTCACAACAAGCATGGTGAGGCTAAGGACATGCCTATTTATAATGACGATTATAGGAACTCTACTGCTGGTTGGTGATTATTCCACAAACATAAAGGTCATCTTTAGCACTAAGATAATCTTAGACAAATGCTGATCTTAATGTTACCCGTAGGAATGTGCATCTTTCCCTTTCAAGATGATTCGCTAGGTATCTAGATGCATGGGCTCCGATACTATACAGGAACGATACGTTTTAGAGAACGAATCGATGCGTTTCGGTTCGATACGATGCACTAACATTTGTTGCATAAACACATTCATTTTCCATTCTAAATTAAAATCTGCGGCTGATTGAGCTCATGAGCTGGGCCTTTGAGTTGGACCTCTGTGTGTGTGTGTGTGTGTAAATTATGTACTGTATGTCTATGGTGTATGTAATATGTAGGCACCTGAGCTGAGCCATAAGAGAGACTAGGCATCTACCACCCCACTACCAAAATCAGATTATGGGGGACAATGTAGCCTATGTTTTTTTGTCCCCCCACTTTGGTTCTGAAATCACTGTCACCCACTAATTAACTTGTTATTTTTGGCGATTTAAGTGTTTGAGCTAGTAATGTATCAATATTTATCATTGACAAATTAGCTATGACATGACTATACACTCAGTGGCCAGTTTATTAGGTACACCACCCCGTTCATGAAAATAGTTAGCTCCTACAGACAATGAGTCACGTGGCTGTGGCTTGCTATATAAAGCAGGCAGACAGGTATAGAGGCATTCAGTTACTGTTCGATTGAACGTTAGAATGGGCAAATTGAGTGAAAAAAGCTTGTTGATGAGAGGTCGCAGGAGAGTAGCAAGAATCGTGCAAGCTAACAGGCGGACCACAAACGGGAATGTAGAAATAATCTAATATGAGAAAAACATTTTAGTAACCTCCAATTTGAATCGATTTTATGTCAGATGCATGCTACATTTGGATCGGTTTGGGGTCCGCGGACCGTTGGACTTGTATCTTAAACATTTGAATCGGGGACCGATGCGTATCGGTGAATCGCTACATCCCTAGTTACCCGGTAATAGTAAATCTACTGTAACCCGATTTAGCTGAGTTTAAATAGCCTTTTGTGTTGTTGGGGCCCATATCAAAGGGTGTGTGTCGTTGCCTGCTTGTGATTGCAGCATAGAATACATATGATGCTCTTGTGATGAGGCAAAGTTGGTGTGGAAGAGGTGAAAAAGTTGTTGCTATCTATAAATAAGAACAAGCCACCTGGTACCGACAATCTGGATGGTAAATTGCTGAAGTTGGTAGCGGAATACATTGCGACTCCTGGTTGCCACATCTTCAATTTAAGCCTAGAAGACAGTGTGTGCCTTCAGGCCTGGAGGGATGCAAAGGTCATTCCGCTGCCTAGGAACAGCAAAGCACCCTTTTAATGGTTCAAACAGCCGATCAATCAGCCTGTTACCGGTGCTTAGCAAACTTTTGGAAAAAATCGTGTTTCACCAAATACATTGGTATTTTACAGAAAACAAATTAACAGACTTTCAGCATGCTTATAGGGAAGGGCAGTCCACATGCTCAGCACTGACACAAATGACTGATGATTGGCTGAAAGCAATTGATAATAAGAAGATTGTGGGAGCTGTTTTGTTAGATTTCAATGCAGCCTTTGGTATCATTGATCACAACCTATTGCAGAAAAAACAGGGGTTATGGATTTACATCCTCTGCCTTATCATGGATTGAGATTAATACATAATAAAATACTAAATACCAAAAATACGTGTTTTGCATAGCACCGATTTGATGTATTTTATGGAATTCATTATGTATTGTTTATATGAACAAGTTTATTTTAAGACAGAGAATCATGAATATGTGGTTATAAATGTAACTAAATCCTAAGAGGAGGATTGTCTGAAGTGAAGAAGACCATTTGGGTTGAATATGCACATCCAACTCTCCGTCCATTGTCTTTCTAGGGTTCTCTGGCGGCAACATTGGCACTGACTCCCCTGTTTTCTGCAGACAGATCCCCTCCCCTCTTCAAACCGTTTTCACAGAGTTCCACTACTGGCCAGGTAACAGAAGATCATTCTATAATCTATTTAAGCATGCAGTGCCCGATTTCGGTTACTTGCTTATTGATAATATGTTTACACAACTTAATTTATTAATTTCCCAACGTTTTGTAAGTCAGAACACAAAAGACTAGCCATTCTATGCTTCTGTTGAATAAACGTGTCTCTGGCTCCATCCACTGGTCAGCTGCGTCATTACATCACATTTTGTCTCTTTGTCACGGCACGTCAAGGGGGCGGTTCTTAGAAAAGCTGCTCTTCCGGTCAACTCTCCTGATTCTTATCAGCAGGCGGTTCTAAATATATAACATTCATAGTTGTACGATAAAGAATGCGACCTAGACACTCCCTTAAACTGAAAAGTAAATAAGTAATTTTGTGTGGAAGTCAAAAAGTTCATTACACATAATTTGTAAACTGCAAATGAACCGCAAGAAGCCCAAACAGATAAAACATTTGACTAAACATAATCATTTCAAACCTTTCTTACATTTGTATATGATCACATACTGTATATCTCTCTATTATGCGTGAGAATACTTTAGAACAGATTCCAAAATTGAAATCACAACAATATGTTTTGCTAAGAAAACTTTGGGTGCCAAATAAAATTGCCCGTGAGTGATTTTATTTGGCCCCCAAATATATATATTAAAGCAATAACAAATATGTAAATCCGGGACACTCAAATTAGTATGATACAGTGGGGGAAAAAAGTCTTTAGTCAGCCACCAACTGTGCAAGTTCTCCCACTTAAAAAGATGAGAGAGGCCTGTAATTTTCATCATAGGTACACGTCAACTATGACAGACAAAATGAGGAAAATAAAATCAAGAAAATCACATTGTAGGATTTCTTATGAATTTAGTTGCAAATTATGGTGGAAAATAAGTATTTGGTCAATAACAAAAGTTTCTCAATACTTTGTTATATACCCTTTGTTGGCAATGACACAGGTCAAACGTTTTCTGTAAGTCTTCACAAGGTTTTCACACACTGTTGCTGGTATTTTGGCCCATTCCTCCATGCAGATCTCCTCTAGAGCAGTGATGTTTTGGGGCTGTCGCTGGGCAACACGGACTTTCAACTCCCTCCAAAGATTTTCTATGGGGTTGAGATCTGGAGACTGGCTAGGCCACTCCAGGACCTTGAAATGCTTCTTACGAAGCCACTCCTTCGTTGCCCGGGCGGTGTGTTTGGGATCATTGTCATGCTGAAAGACCCAGCCACGTTTCATCTTCAATGCCCTAGCTGATGGAAGGAGGTTTTCACTCAAAATCTCACGATACATGGCCCCATTCATTATTTCCTTTACACGGATCAGTCGTCCTGGTCCCTTTGCAGAAAAACAGCCCCAAAGCATGATGTTTCCACCCCCATGCTTCACAGTAGGTATGGTGTTCTTTGGATGCAACTCAGCATTCTTTGTCCTCCAAACACGACGAGTTGAGTTTTTACCAAAAAGTTATATTTTGGTGTCATCTGACCATATGACATTCTCCCAATCCTCTTCTGGATCATCCAAATGCACTCTAGCAAACTTCAGACGGGCCTGGACATGTACTGGCTTAAGCAGGGGGACACGTCTGGCACTGCAGGATTTGAGTCCCTGGCGGCGTAGTGTGTTACTGATGGTAGGCTTAGTTACTTTGGTCCCAGCTCTCTGCAGGTCATTCACTAGGTGGTTCTGGGATTTTTGCTCACTGTTCTTGTGATCATTTTGACCCCACGGGTGAGATCTTGCGTGGAGCCCCAGATCGAGGGAGATTATCAGTGGTCTTGTATGTCTTCCATTTCCTAATAATTGCTCCCACAGTTGATTTCTTCAAACCAAGCTGCTTACCTATTGCAGATTCAGTCTTCCCAGCCTGGTGCAGGTCTACAATTTTGTTTCTGGTGTCCTTTGACAGCTCTTTGGTCTTGGCCATAGTGGAGTTTGGAGTGTGACTGTTTGAGGTTGTGGACAGGTGTCTTTTATACTGATAACAAGTTCAAACAGGTGCCATTAATACAGGTAACGAGTGGAGGACAGAGGAGCCTCTTAAAGAAGAAGTTACAGGTCTGTGAGAGCCAGAAATCTTGCTTGTTTGTAGGTGACCAAATACTTATTTTCCACCATAATTTGCAAATAAATTCATAAAAAAATCCTACAATGTGATTTTCTGGATATTTTCTTCTCAATTTGTCTGTCATAGTTGACGTGTACCTATGATGAAAATTACAGGCCTCTCTCATCTTTTTAAGTGGGAGAACTTGCACAATTGGTGGCTGACTAAATACTTTTTTTCCCCACTGTATGTTATGTTTGGTATGGTTTCATAAGACAGATGGTTACTTAAGGCAAAAATGAAAGTGGGGTGGATGTGTGGACGCAGCCCAAAGTTTGAATCTTTAGTATTTAGGCTAACTAGCAACTTTTTATCTACTTACTACTTTTTATCTACTTTGCAACTACTTAGCATGTTAGCTAACCCTAACCCTATCCTTAACCCTTTTAACTAACCCTTCCCCTAACATTAAACCTTTTAGCTAACCCTAACCCCTTTAACCTAACTCCTAAACTTAACCTTAAACCTAACCCCTAGCCTAGCTAGCTAATGTTAGCCACCTAGCTAGAATTCGTAAGATATCATACGTTTTGCAAATTCATAACATATTTTACGTTTTGCAAATTCGTAACATAGTGTGTAATACGAATTGTAATTCGTAACATATCATACGAAATGGGGGATGGACATCCACAAATTAATACCTACCATACGAAACGCTCTGAGACCAGGTTGTCATATTTGTATTTGATTGATTATACTTGTATTATGTACTAGATCATATGGGTTGAAAAGTGTTTTTTTCTCAGACATAAATAAACAATTCCAGGTGAAAGCCAACGGTCATAGCTTTCAGGGGAGAAAGACTACGACATTATTCAAAATATTGCCTTGCTAGATTGATGAACACAGCCATAGCAAAACAGTGAAAACGGCTGTCAGCTCAATAGTCTGTTCTATTGTATTGCAATTAAGTGACTATAATAAATACTGAGCAAAAGTCCCAGCTTAGTACTCCTGTAAATGCAATTCAATGTCAACAGTGGCAAGCTTGTGAGAACAGATAGAAACTTGCATGGGAGCCTAATTTACCCCTTGCTATTGGAATATTTTAGAGGAAGAGTTCATGCAATGAAATGTTGGAGGGCAGGGTGTTTGTCTGTTATTTTGTTTTGACAATCACTCTCAATCAATCAAAAATGTACAAAACATCTTATTAATGTGTAGTTAGATTTTCTATGTGTTAAACATATGCGTGCCCTTGTTTCCAGTGTGGGTCCAAAGCCGAGGCTTTAAAACTCTAAGGAAACACAAGCGACTGCAGGCAGGCTTTGAGCGTCCCATGGAACCAGACGGCTTTACGCCATCCTTTATGAAGGTGAGACCCCGGTTTGTCTGTACTCTGTCACTCTCTAGATAGAGTATTTGGTCATGTTCATTATGCCAGACCATACCAAAATGTGTTAAAACGATTTACAACCTGAAAACAAGCATTTCCTCATTAGACAAAGAATGATGGTAACTCCCAGTTTCGCAGCCTGGTTGCATTGTAAACATCTCTGACTCTGTTGTCGCATGGAGGGCCTCCTGACGCGTGATAAGGGGATGGAGGTGGAAACCCTGGACAAGCTCCTGAAGAACAAGAACATTCCAGATGGGCAGCAAGAGTATTTTAAGACCGGGTTTGCAGAGGGCTTCCTGAAATCCCAAGCGCTGACACGGCGCACACAAGGCAAGTGTATATACACAGACACAACATTGCTAAACGTTTTGAGATGGAAAACCAAAACGGCGTTCTTAGTGGACAAGCTCAGGTAGTATCTCCTTCGTTTCACAACATTGTCTCTTGTTTCTTGCCTACTAAATATGAACTAGGTCTACGTTGCCTCCCATGATGTTGGCTGTTAGTGGATTCAGAAAATGAACGTCTACTCTCCTTGCAGTGAGCATTAAATTACCAACGTTTCAGCACGCAGGCCCTGAAGGCCTGAATTGGTAATTAAATGCTCATTGCAGCAAGAGATGAGTGTTGTCCGACTTTCATTTTTCTTGAAAGCGGATTGAAACACACATTCTCTCCCCTTCTCTACAGACTCTCTGAGGAGGACGAGGTTTATACTGCTGGTCCTGCTGTTGGTGGGACTCTACGGCCTCTCCAAGACCCCCTTCCTATCGGGTAAAGGCTCCTTTTTCATTTTGTCCATATGCATCTCTCTAATCAAGCTCTAAGACCCTCACTCTGGCATGCAGCTTGGTGTGTACCTTTTAAAGGAAAACTCCACTCAAAAACGTTTGGTATTTGTTTCATTAGTCCATTGTTGACATAGTCCCAAAATATTTTCCTTGTCAGCAATCAAGTTTTCAAGATATGTAACTTTCAAAATACAGAAATCACCCCATATGATGCATTTTGCATCATATGATGCAAAATGAATCATACAGGGATGATTTCTGTATTTTGAAAGTAATGTAAATGTAACCACTGTCAAATTCATAGACAGTCCATGAGAGTGACATGATGGTTTATGAAGCTGTATATTGTCTGTTTAAAGTTACATTCTTCATAAATGAATGGGTAGCCTATATCATTTATTCAAATGACAATTGAACAGCCTCCCAGATTGAGCCTTTTAACCTTTTGCTGATGCATTCAGAATTTACACACAAAAAGAATGCTCAACAAATTTGATGATGAGTAATCGAGAACTTGATGTTGTGATATTGTTACTAATCGTTTCCATCAATTTACTTTACTGAATGCTTCTAAAAAATAGTGATTTGTTGGCAAACAAAAAAAATCAAACCATAGCTAAGAATGTGTTTGCATCCGAGCAGTGTGATTTCGATCCTTATTCTAACCATTCTGGACAGTGCGATTCCGAACCACATCAGGCCTGGACTCGGCGGTGGACCCTGTCCAAATGAAGAACGTGACGTTTGAGCACGTCAAGGGGGTGGACGAGGCCAAGAACGAGCTGCAGGAGGTGGTGGAGTTCCTCCGGAGCCCAGAAAAGTTCACCGTCCTCGGAGGGAAACTGCCGAAAGGTGCAGCAGACCGTCAAGCTGTTTTATAATAATATATCAAATATTCCATTTAGCAGACTCTTTTATCCAAAGCGACTTACAGTCAGTCATCCTTGCATACATTTTATGGTCTTTAGTTGATCAGGGTTGTGTTCATTAGGCACCAAACAAGAACACATTTAACAGGAAACACTACCTGGATTTGTCCAATAAGAAACGCTCACATTTGTTTTCCGTTACAAAACATAAAAAATAAAAAAATGGTTCCGTGTCCTGATGAACACGACCTGGGTTTAGACTAACTGAACAATGCTGAATTCAAGAAGTTGTTTAGGCAGGCAGCCAGATCTTCCTCTGATGGAAGACGAAAATGTTGCCATCTTTGTCACCACTTTTAATTTACTTTATCTCACATTAGATTTCAATCTGTTGTTCTTCTTTCAACATTCATAAAAAAAAAACGTCAGATAATATACAGTAATACAATATTCATATTTTACAGTTGTTTATTGCTTGTGCGCTCTCTCTCTCTGTAGGGATCTTGCTGGTTGGCCCTCCTGGCACTGGGAAGACTCTGTTGGCCAGAGCCGTAGCTGGAGAGGCCGACGTCCCCTTTTATTACGCCACCGGTTCGGAATTTGATGAGATGTTTGTGGGGGTTGGAGCCAGTCGCATCAGGAACCTCTTCAGTGAGTCCCATCTCATCTTCAAGTCTCGCCCTATTCCTGGCTTCCAACCCTGAACCTAATATTGTACTTTAACCAGTTTTTTTGTTTACCCAAACCTGGTTACAACAATGTTAACATGCTAGATGATATTGTGTCATAATTTATCAACCATACGTTTGAGACCCCTGCCCTAGACAACCCAATCTCTCTATACATGACTTGTCTGCAGGGGAAGCTAAAGCCAACGCCCCATGCGTGGTTTTCATTGACGAGTTGGACAGCGTCGGAGGGAAGAGAATCGAGTCTCCCATGCACCCTTACTCCAGACAGACCATCAACCAGCTACTGGCTGAGATGGACGGGTATGTTTTCAATGTGTTCTTCTGGGTTGTGTTCAATGACACTATATATATATATATTATTTTGAAACGGAGTGAAATAGAGAGCTTCTACCTGAATTTGTCCAATAAGAACACAGATTCTTTGTTGCAAAATGTTTTGCACTGGTGTGCCGTACTGAACACTACCGTGGTGTAGCACCACTGTTACTTTATGTGGGGAGAAACCTGACTTTCCTTAACCTTTTCACGTTTGTCACCCGCAGGTTCAAACCAAACGAAGGGGTCATCATCATCGGAGCGACCAACTTCCCTGAGGCTTTGGATAAGTATGTTAAGCTTTGTTCATCTCATAATGTTTCACAATGAAATGTCAATTTTTCACAGTGCCTGTGTGGCATTAGTTTACATGAGTACAGAATGACTTGCCATGTTAAAACAAACCTAGACGGAGTGAAGCTCTCCCTCCTAACTATCGCCCCCTTCCCTCCCTAGCGCTCTGATTAGGCCGGGACGTTTTGACATGCAGGTCACTGTCCCCAAGCCAGACGTGAAAGGGCGCACAGAAATCCTCAACTGGTACTTAAGGAAGATCAAAGTAGACCCTGGTACGTGAGCAACATACATGTGTGATATGTGTTGGCCATAGCTTGAGTCTATTGCTAATGAACACTAGGTTCACACATAAGTGAATCTGCTTTGCTAAATGCTAATGGATACTGTACATGCAAATAGACTATGGCTATATGAGAATCTGTAGTGGTAACATGCTAACAGACTATGGCTACTTGCTAATGGCTACATTTTAAAATAGACTACGGTGACATGCTAAAAAATACATGCTAATAGAATATGGCTACATGCTAAAGGCTACATACTAAAATACAATTGTTATATAAGAATCTGCACTGGCAACATGCTAACGGATACATGCTAAATAGACTATGGCTACATGCTAATAGATGGCTATATGAGAATCTGCAGTGGTAACATGCTAGTAAGACACTGTAGTTGACCTAGCTTAGCTGTCACTGTTCCTGCTAACGACCTGGCTTCCTCATGCAGACATCAAGGCTGGGATCATCGCCAGGGGCACAGTGGGCTTCTCCGGGGCCGACCTGGAGAACCTGGTGAACCAGGCGGCTCTGAAGGCGGCGGTGGACGGCAAAGACATGGTGACCCTCAAAGAGCTGGAGTTTGCCAAGGACAAGATCCTCATGGGTGAGCACTGGTGTAGGAATAGGGAGAAAATAGAAATACACCCCTTAATCACAAATCTGCCCCTTCCCCTATGCACTTGTTTAGATCTGAGAGGATTAGATAAGTGTAATCAATATGGTGGTAGCCCATCTTACTCTTTGATAGGCCGTGGAATTGGCACCATATTGCTTACACCTTAGCCTCGGAAACCCAGGCTTCTCAGAGGAAGGCCCGAATAAATTGCATAAGACTTCAACCACCCAAGCCATAGACTGTTCGCTCTGCTACCGTCCGGCAAACGGTACCGGAGCATCGGTTCTCGGACCAGCAGGCTGAGACAGCTTCTAACCCCATGCCAAAAGACTGCTAAATAGCCATAAGACTGCTAAATAGTTAATTAAATGGTTACATAGACTATTTGCATTGACCCTATCTTGCACTGACTCTATGCACACTCACAAGACTATATATGTGCACTATATACAGTGCCTTCAGAAAGTATTCATACACCTTGACTTATTCCACATTTTGTTGTGTTACAGCCTGAATTCAAAATGGGTTAAATTGATTTTTTCCACCCATCTACATGCAATACCCTATAATGACTAAGTGAAAACATGTTTTTAGAAATGTTTGCAAATGTATTGAAAATGAAATACAGAAATATCTCATTTACATAAGTATTCACACCCCTGAGTCAATACTTTGTAGAAGCACCTTTGGCAGCGATTACAGCTGTGAGTCTTTCTGGGTAAGTCTCTTAAGAGCTTTCCACACCTGGATTGTGCAACATTTATCCATTTATTATTTTCAAAATTCTTTAAGCTCTGCGAAATTGGTTGTTGATCATTGCTAGACAACCATTTTCAGGTCTTGCCATAGATTTTCAAGTAGATGTATGTCAAAACCGTAAATAGGCCTCTCAGGAACATTCACTTTCTTCTTGATAAGCAACTCCAGTGTATATTTGGCCTTGTGTTTTACGTTATTGTCCTACTGAAAGGTGAATTCATCTCGAGGTGGAAACAAGACGTTTCGGTACAATTTTGTAAATGCAGACAGATCATTTGTTTGTTCGACATGGTAGGATCTTTTTGTGTCTGTAAAATAATGAATGCAAGAAATGGCGATGGAAACGCCTTTATGCACAAATATTGATATAATAACCATCATATCGACGTAAACTTGGAGTCACGCGATGATATGCTGTGTGGTCCTCCCACTACAACTCGGGAAAGCATGCAGTTTATTAGGCTACAGATGAAATAAGTTATGGTGAACTTCACAGGGTGATGAAAGTGCACAGTGATCTTGATGCTCCTTTCCAATAAATATCGAGGGTCTGTTTCTAGTGACATGATGATCGATGCTTGACTGCCATTTGACAAATAAAAATATCCATAATAATCTCATCATGTAAACTAGCCTATCTGTACAGCCTACCCACACTGTATCTGTAAGCTGTTGGCTAGAGTGCACATGCCAAGACCAGAGTAGGCACATTTGCTATTCAACACAACAGTTTCTGTGACAAAACTATTGGTAGAGTTGAAAATGCGATGGAAACACATTGAACGTTAGATTTTTATTCGGTGCATTAAAACTTAACCTAAAAAGTACATTTTGTGTGCACGTCGTCATCACGCACTGATTTTTATCCGCAACAAGTCCGTTTGGTGGAAACACATCACTGGTAGGAAAATTCGCATATTTTCTTTATGTAGATTTGAGAATATTCGCATGAAAATCGGTCACCAATTGGATGGAAACATAGCTACTGTCTAGCTTTTATTTTGGTGATTGTTAGTTCTCAAAGATGATCTTATTTAGAAATATATACAGTGAATTCGGAAAGTATTCAGACCCCTTTACTATTCCTACTCAAGCTACACACAATACCCCATAATGACAAAGAAAAAACAGGTTTTTATACATTTTTGCAAATTTTTTAAAAAAATTAAAAAAGAAATACCTTATTTACATAAGTATTCAGACCCTTTGCTATGAGACTCGAAATTGAGCTCAGGTAAATCCAGTTTCCATTGATCATCATTGAAATGTTTCTACAACTTTATTGGTGACCAACCTGTGGTAAATACAATTGATTGGACATGATTTGGAAAGGCACACACCTGTCTATATACGGTCCCTCAGTTGTCAGTGCATGTCAGAGCAAAAACCAAGCCATGAGGTCAAAGGAATTGTCTGTAGAGCTCCGAGACAGGATTGTGTCAAGGCACAGATCTGGGGAAGGGTTCCAAAATATTCCTGCAGCATTGAAGGTCACAAAGAACACAGTAGCCTCCATCATTCTTAAATGGAAGAAGTTTGGAACCACCAAGACTCTTCCTAGACCTGGCCGTTCAGCCAAACTAAGCAATCGGGGGAGAAGGGCCTTGGTCAGGGAGGTGATCAAGAAACCGATGGTCACGGGGGGCCAGTATGAAAAATTTAAAAATAATGTATGCACTCACTAACTGTAAGTCGCTCTGGATAAGAACGTCTGCTAAATGACTAAAATGTAAATGTAAATGTATGTCACTTTGAAGGAGCTCCAGAGTTCCTCTGTGGAGATGGGGAAACAACCATCTCTGCAGCACTCCATCAATCAGGCCTTTATGGTAGAGTCTCCAGACGGAAGCCACTCCTCAGTTAAAGGCACATGACAGCCCACTTGGAGTTTGCCAAAAGGCACCTAAAGGACTCTCAGACCATGAGAAACAAGGTTCAGGACAACAACCCTAAGCACACAGCCAAGACAATGCACGATTGGCTTCGTGACAAGTCTCTGAATGTCCTTGAGTGGCCCAGCCAGAGCCCGGACTTGAACCCGATCGAACATCTCTGGAGAGACCTGAAAATAGCAGTGCAGCGATGCTCCCCATCCAACTTGACAGAGCTTGAGAGGATCTGCAGAGAAGAATGGGAAAAACTCCACAAATACAGGTGTGCCAGCTTCTAGCATCATATATAAGAAGACTCTAGGCTGTAATCGCTGCCAAAGGTGCTTCAACAAAGTACTGAGTAAAGGGTCTGAATACTTATGTAAATGTAATATTTCAGTTTTGTATTTTTTATAAATTTGCAACATTTTCTAAAAACCTGTTTTTGCTTTGTCATTATGGGGTATATTGACGAGGGGGAAAAAACAATTGAATCCATTCTAGAATAAGGCTGTAACGTAACAAAATGTGGAAAAAGCCAAGGGGGTCTGAATATTTTCCAAATGCACTGTAAGTGTGTCCAATATCTTTTCTACATACTTTATATCTCATTTTAGTCATCCAAAGTTTACACTGAAAACGTTTTTTCATCCCATTTTTTAAAATTATTATTATATTATATATTTTTTTACTGTTTGACATAGGCGCCCGAAAAAACAGTTAGGCGGCACGTCCAAGACTTGTCTATGTAGAAAAAACTCTGTAAGATACAAAGCGAATTCCGCATAGGCTACTTAAACCGAGACACGGACAAAGAAGAAAAGAACTACAACTGAACACAAGGGGAAAAAGCATTTCTACTCAGAGCCAATCAAAAGTGAGCGCTGAATGCCACCGACTCTCTGACCGCTCCCATTCAAACTAGAAATCCAAACCTGAATTACGCCCAGACTTCCAATAGTCGAGTGAACGAGACGGGACTACTAACACCTATACAATCCTCTCAGATCTTCCTAGGGGTATATTTGGGATTCAGGGACCGAATGGCTCCGAGCAGGAAATCAAGTGATTATCTCTATCCATCTCTTCCCTCCCACAGGCCCAGAGAGGAAGAGTGTGGAGATAGACCAGAAGAACAAGGAGATCACGGCCTACCACGAGTCTGGCCACGCTATCGTGGCGTACTACACCAAGGACGCCATGCCTATCAATAAGGCCACCATCATGCCCAGAGGGCCTTCCCTGGGTCATGTAAGTGGGACTAGAAATAGGGAAATTTTAACATATAGGAAACAAGATGGGTAGGGAACACAACATGGTTAGACTATTAGAATATGAAAAAAGTGGAATTTTATACTGGTTTCTTATATGAAGGCTATGACGCCGAAATAAAACCAAGTATTTTTCAGGAATCTGTTCTGCTGAGCATGCCAATAGAATAATGCATAATTTCGATATTATGAAGAGTCCCTTAATTCCTCCATTGTTCTGTCTTGCAAATTAAAATCGTAGTTTTTTATGTTTTTAGAATCGTCAAGTGTGAAATGGTTGTTTCCGTTTGCTGCCAGGCCTCACTCCTCTTCCCCCACTGTCCATCCCAGGTGTCTATGCTCCCGGAGGATGACCGCTGGAGCGAGACGCGTGCTCAGTTGCTGGCCCAGATGGATGTCAGCATGGGAGGCCGCGTGGCAGAGGAGATCATATTTGGCAATGAGTTCATTACCACTGGTATGTATGGGGATGTAGAGTTAGTGTAGGAGCAGGAGGGCAATTAGAGTACAGAGTTACAGTATACACCAAGCACAGTACTGTAGTGCAAAAGCATATTCCCGAAAACGGGATGGTGCATCTCGGGGGAGGGGGTAATCCTGGCTTCCAAATGTAAAATAAATAATATTCAAGTTTGGGGGATTTATGATATGGTCATATAGCTGACACTTTTATCCAAAGTGACTTACAGATTTGTCGAATATTGACAGTGACACATATTTTCAGTATATGTGACCCATGCAGGAATCGAACCCACTTCCTTACTGTTGCCAGCACCATGCTCTGATTCACTGAGCCAATGGTATCTTTTAGCCCGTTAATAATCTTCCAAGAGTCCAAGACTAAACAAACTATATATTAAATACATGTTCATCTTTTTTATTTTTTAGGGGCATCAAGTGACTTTGATGCTGCCACCAAAATTGCAAAAATGATGGTGACCAGATTTGGAATGTGTGAGAGGGTAAGTTATGTTTGGTCGGGAAAGAGGAAATTAATTAATGTCTTATACTGCATGAGCAAACTCCTGCTGTTTGTATTGTATGCCCTTCAAGACCTATGACCTAGTGTGGAACCTTTACAGAGATCTAGCTCTGTTTCTCAATTAAATTCAATGAGCTTCATTGGCATGAATGGGAACCACCCTATGTTGCAGCACTACATACAGTGCATTCGGAAAGTATTCAGACCCCTTCCCCTTTTCCACATTTTGTTACGTTACAGCCTTATTCTAAAATGGATTAAATAAAAACATTTCCTCATCAATCCACACACAATACCCCATAATGACAAATGTATTAAAAATAAAAAACTGAAATACCTTATTTACATAAGTATTCAGAACCTTTGCTATGAGACTCTTAATTGAGCTCAGGTGCATCCTGTTTCCATTTATCATCCTTGAGATGTTTCTACAACTTGATTGGAGTCCACCTGTGGTAAATTAAATGGATTGGACATGATTTGGAAAGGCACACACACGTTTGGAACCACCAAGACTCTTCCTAGAGCTGGCCTCCCGGCCAAACGGAGCAATCGGGGGAGAAGGGCCTTGGTCAGGGAGGTGACCAAGAACCTGATGGTCACTCTGACAGAGCTCTAGAGTTCCTCTAGTGGAGATGGGAGAACCTTCCAGAAGGACAATCATCTCTGCAGCACTCCACCAATTAGGTCTTTATGGCAGAGTGGCCAGACGGAAGCCACTCCTCAGTAAAAGGCACATGACAGCCCCTTGGAGTTTGCCAAAAGGCACCTAAAGACTCTCAGACCATGAGACAAGATTCTCTGGTCTGATGAAACCAAGATGGACTCTTTGGCCTGAATGCCAAGCGTCACGTATGGAGGAAACCTGGCACCATCCCTACGGTGAAGCATGGTGGTGGCAGAATCATGCTGTGGGGATGTTTTTCAGCGGCAGGGACTGGGAGAAAAGTCAGGATCGAGGGAAAGTTGACCGGAGCAAAGTACAGAGAGATCCTTGATGAAAACCTGCTCCAGAGTGCTGAGGACCTCAGACTGGGGCGAAGGTTCACCTTCCAACAGGACAACGACCCTGAGCACACAGACAAGACAACGCAGGAGTTGCTTCAGGACAAGTCTCTGAATGTCCTTGAGTGGCCTAGCCAGAGCCTGGACTTGAACCCAATCGAACATCTCTGGAGAGACCTGAAAATAGCTATGCAGTGACCCATCCAACCTGACAGAGGTTGAGAGGATTTGCAGAGAAGAATGGGAGAAGCTCCCCAAATACAGGTATACCATACATACCCAAGAAGACTCGAGGCTGTAATCGCTGCCAAAGGTGATTCAACAAAGTACTGAGTAAATGGTCTGAATACTTATGTAAATGTGATCTTTTTATTTATTAATTTTTTATACATTTGCAAAGAATTCTAAAAACCTGTTCTTGCTTTGTCATTATGGGGTATTGTGTGTAGATTGATGAGGGGAAAAACAATGTAATCAATTTTAGAATAATGCTGTAACGTAACAAAATGTGGAAAGATTCTAGGTGTCTTTCTGAATGCACTGTATATATTGTGACAGTATATATTTCTCTATCTCTCTCACTCACTCACACGCTCTCTCACCTGTGTTGTAGCTGGGGGTCATGACCTATGCTGACCAAACCAAGCAGAGCCCGGAGACACAGGCTGCCATCGAACACGAAGTCAGGATACTTTTAAAGGTACGTTTCCACCTCCATCGTCCTTCCAAGGCCCTGACATGGTGCTCTTTGTCTTGTGGTTTTTATGTTCCCCATTTCTCAACCTAGCTCATTCAGAGTTATACAGTTTACGGAAATAACAGACACAATTTACAGGTGTGTCTAAGCCCTTAATTGCACTGTAACATATCAAAACTTTCTATAGCTCCACCACCGCCTGGTACGGCAACTGCTCGGCATCCGACCACAAGGCGCTACAGAGGGTAGTGCGTACGGCCCAGCACATCACTGGGGCCAAGCTTCCTGCCATCCAGGACCTCTATACCAGGCAGTGTCAGAGGAAGGCCCTAAAAATTGTCAAAGAATCCAGCCACCCTAGTCATAGACTGTTCTCTCTGCTACCGCACAGCAAGTGGTACCGGAGCGCCAAGTCTAGGTCCAAAAGGCTCCTTTACAGCTTCTACCCCCAAGCCATAAGACTGCTGAACAGTTAATCAAATGGCTACCCGGACTATTTGCATTGTCCCCCCCTCCCTCTTTTACACTGCTGCTACTCGCTGTTTATTATCTATGCATAGTCACTTTACCCCTACCTACATGTACATATTACCTCACTTACCTCGACTAACCTGTACCCCCGCACATTGACTCGGTACCGGTACCCCCTGTATATAGCCTCGTTATTGTTATTTCATTGTGTTACTTATTTTTTTACTTTTGTTTATTTAGTAAATCTTTTCTTAACTCTTATTTTTCTTAAAACTGCATTGTTGGTTAAGGGCTTGTAAGTAAGCATTTCACGGTAAGGTCTACACCTGTTGTATTCGGCGCATGTGACAAATAACATTTGATTTGATTTGTAGCCCTTTCACTCAAACCGGGTCCATTATCTTACATTTACATTTTAGTCATTTAGCAGACGCTCTTATCCAGAGCGACTTAGTTAGTGAGTGCATACATTTTCATACTGGCCCCCCGTGGGAAACGAACCCACAACCCTGGCGTTGCAAGTGCCATGCTTTACCAACTGAGCTACAGGCTTCATTCTAACGCGACACGCAGTCGCCATGAGCCATCGATAGTGGAACTCATCTCTAACAATTGAGATGTTGCTCACACTAGTTCCTACTTCTGAAAACCACTCCGCTCTCCGTAGCTATGATGCACTGGCTACTACAGCAAATCATGCTCGATCAGATGAGCAAACGTGCTCCAGCTAGCAGCCTAGTGCTAGCTTGTTTGAATGGCCATTACGGTAGCTAGTTTCCCAGCTTGTTGATAATGTTATGGGACTGTTCTCAGAAATCAGCATGTATTGGAATCTGACAGCTGGCACTGTGCCTCGCTAGTACTTTGTAACATTTGGCCAACGCGATAACGTCGCAGCTAGAGCAATCAGCTGTGCTGAAGAACTCTGCGCACTAATCACAGCTAACCTAACATAGCAGGGGTTAAAAAATGCCTGAAACTAGATCTCCTACATACTGGTCTTGATAAGAAGAAAAAAAATGAGAAGAAAAAAAACTGTTCAATCAATCCAGTAAATGTGGAGGAGGAGTTAGGATTGAGTGTCGCCTTGTTAATGTCCAAAACCGGAAGTCACGTCACAGGCTCTCTTTCCATTTGACCTGAAAACCGAAACATCCGCTTGTTGGGGACTCTGCAGAGGCTAATCACGGCAGAACAGACACCGGCTTAACCTGAAAACTAGCTAGCTAGAAATGTTTTGTACACAATTAGAAATTCATAAATACTGATTCTACAACCACAAAACACCTTAGGTAGATTTATACTGAAAAAAATATAAACGCAACATGCAATAATTTCAAAGATTTTACTGAGTTACAGTTCATATGAGGAAATCAGTCAATTGAAATAAATTCATTAGGCCCTAATCTATGGATTTCACATGACTGGGAATACAGATATGTATCTGTTGGTCACAGATACCTTTTTAAAAAATGGGCCTCACAATGGGCCTCAGGATCTCGTCACGGTATTTCTTTGCATTCAAATTGCCATCGATAAAATGCAATTGTGTTCGTTGTCCGTAGCTTATGCCTGCCAATACCATAACCCCACCGCCACCATGGGGCACTCTTTTCACAGCAAACCACTCGCCCACACGACGCCATACACGTGGTCTGCGGTTGTTAGGCCAGTTGGACGTACTGCCAAATTCTCTAAAATGACGTTGGGGGCGGCTTATGGTAGAGAAATGAACATTACATTCTCTGGCAACAGCTCTGGTGGACATTCCTAGCTAGCAAGTGACACAAACGTTAGTCAGCCTGCATAGGAAACATTTTTGTTACAACGGACGACCAGACCTTTTGCATAACAACAGAATTAACGACTGGTCGCATCTGTGGCAACATGACCAAAAGAACAAACAGATTTTTAACCGGACTGGTGGTAGAATGAAATTGGTGGAAGAATGAAATTGTAGGAATTTACTTATCAAAATAAATTAAAATATGTAATTCATTGTTATTTTAATATGTTGTTAACTGTTCTATAAAAGTGATAAGGCATGCAAGAGTGCGCTATGTGATGAATACAGTCACAGGTAAATGGGTTGACTGGCCCATCATTTCGTGTCGGGCCGAACAACACCATTTATCTGTGACTGTATTAATCACATAGCACGGCCTCTTGTGCCTTATCGCTTAAATATTAGCTACAAGTATATCGTTTTTTTTTACTCTGACTCTTTTTAGGATGAAAGGGGGTTCAGTGGACGATGTCACCTTGGAAACATTTTAGAATGTTAGGACAGCATATTGTAGCCAAACTTATTTTGAGCTATCCCATGAGTGTTTGGGAGCTATCAGACAGATCAGTGCAGACCACTGACGTGAGACAATGCCCCTGCCTGTGTAAAAATAATTTCCTGACTCTTCTGGTGGTTTGTGTGGTCCTCAGGATTCGTACGAGCGGGCCAGGGCGCTCCTCAAGTCCCACGCCAAGGAGCACAAGAACCTGGCCACCGCCCTGCTGCAATACGAGACGCTGGATGCCAAAGAGATCAAGATGGTCCTGGAGGGCAAGGCCCTGGAGATCAGATGAGACCTCCAAGAGTGGAGGCGTCACTCTGGTTATTGGGGAGACGGGGGTGGGGTGGAGAGACAAAAAATTACTGTGGATTAGGGTAGGGAAGCATAGGAAGTGGCGGGACTGGCTTTTTGGAAGGTGTTGGAATGTAAATATATGAAAATCAAGGCTTCAGGATAGGATTCTTTTTTAATGTAAAATATGTACGCAAACTACGCACACAGTCTTATCTTCCTGTTCATGTCTGGATAGTTGTTAGGATCCTTATTGTCGATAACAAGGAGGATTGTGGGATTTCCCTTCAAATTGGTAGGTGCAATCAGCAGTTGCTACATCCATTTTTAGATTTATAAATGAATTATATGTACCCATTGATTCTTGATTCTTGAAGAATATAACTTATAAATGCCTCATGAGCTTAGTTCAACTGTCGTACCCCATCAGAACCAAAAATATAAGCTTGTTTTATGCCAATGTTTGTAAACAAAGTAAATGTAAACAAACACTGTACACACATCTTGTTTTTAGTTTGAATGTATCCCCTTCTTGTCATATGCCCTTGTTTATGAGTCTGTCTTTTTTTCAATGTACCCTGTTGTGTGTGTGTGTGTGTGTGTGTGTGTGTGTGTGTGTGTGTGTGTACGTGTACGTGTACGTGTGTGTGTGTGTGTGTGTATGTGTGTTGAATGTTTTATGCCTAGTAAGTCCAAGTCCAGTGAGTCCATGCCCTGGATCTTCAGAATCACTACAAAATAATATTATCATCAGTAAAATACACTTGTCTCTACCTGAGACTGTCAATCATGTCTTTGTAATAAGGATTCTGATTCCCCCTAAATAGTCTAACAACTTTTCTCAAGTTTACCAATATTCCCAGGTCGTTTCAGAGGTGGCCTTTTGGGAATGTACGTGTACCCGGAGTAGGGACTCTTTTGGATTTGAGCCACAATTCAAATGTCTCTTAGCACTTTGGTCAGTCTGAACACTTACTCTATGTATTTATGTTATCAAATATGTCAATACTGTGTGTATATAGATGGAAGGGAATGCTGCTGTGCTTCGAAATTATGCTTTCATTCACTTCAAACTCAACGTTGGCAAATTAAGCTGTGACAGGCCATTGGATCCTCTGTTTTTGAATCAGATTAGTCTATCCATTTATTATGAAATAGCTTTAAATTATCTGGTTTCTAGGTCTAAACAATTGTCAAAGTAACAATTAAACCTAAGAGACCCTACAACCTCTCATATCCTGGTTCGCTCCCCACTTCTGCTGTGTATTCTCTATTCACATCTGAAAAAAAAGAAAAAGCCATATCTCAGACTGCCCATTTTAATCTTTTATTTTTATTGGCCAGTCTGAGATATGGCTTTTTCTTTGCAACTCTGGCTAGAAGGTCAGCATCCCGGAGTCGCCTCTTCACTGTTGACGTTGAGACTGGTGTTTTGCGGGTACTATTTAATGAAGCTGCCAGTTGAGGACCTGTGAGTTGTGCACCGGGGCCTCCCACTCCTCTTACTATTCTGGTTAGAGACAGTTTGTGCTGTTCTGTGAGGGGAGTAGTACACAGCGTTGTATGAGATCTTCAGTTTCTTGGCAATTTCTCGCATGGAATAGTCTTCATTTCTCAGAACAAAATAGACTGACGAGTTTCAGAAGAAAGTTATTTGTTTCTGGCCATTTTGAGCCTGTAATCGAAATCACAATTGCTGATGCTCCAGATACTCAACTAGTCTCAAGAAGGCCAGTTTTATTGCTTCTTTAATCAGCACAACAGTTTTCAGCTGTGCTAACATAATTGCAAAAGGGTTTTCTAATGATCAATTAGCCTTTTAAAATGATAAACTTGGATTAGCAAACACAACGTGCCATTGGAACACAGGACTGATGGTTGCTAATAATGGGTCTCAGTATGCCTATGTAGATATTCCATTAAAAATCAGCCATTTCCAGCTACAATAGCCATTTACAACATTAACAATGTCTACACTGTATTTCTGATCAATTTGATGTTATTTTAATGGACAAAAAATTTGATTTTCTTTCGAAAACAAGGAAATGTCTAAGTGACCCCAAACTTTTGAACGGTAGTGTAAGTCAAAACTGTAACTTGGCCACTAACGAACATTCACTGTCTTCTTGGTAGGTAACTCCAGTGTAGATTTGTCCTTGTGTTGTAGGTTATTGTCCTGCTGAATGGTGAATTCCTCTCCCAGTGTCTGGTGTAAAGCAGACTGAAGCAGGTTTTCCTCTAGGATTTTGCCTGTGATTAGCACCATCCCATTTCTTTTTATCCTGAAAAACTCCCCAGTATTTGCCGATGTCAAGCATACCCATACCATGATGCAGCCACCACCATGCTTGAAAATAAGGAGGCAGTTACTCAGTGATGTGTTGGATTTGACCCAAACATAAGGCTTTGCATTTAGGCCAAAAAGTGTATTCCTTTGCTGTGGTTTTTTTCTTCAGTCTTTTTTTTCAGTATTACTTTATTCTGTATATTTGTATTATTTTGACTCTGTCATTGAAGTCATTATTATGGAGTCATTACAATGTTGTTGATCCATCCTCAGTTTTCTCCCATCACAGCCATTGAACTCTGGAACGGTTTTAAAATCACCAATGGCCTCATGGTAACATCCCTGAGCAGTTTCATTCCTGTCCTGCAGCTCAGTTCAGAAGGACGACTGTATCTTTGATGTGTGGGTGGTTTAACACATAATCCACAACATAATTATTAACTTGACCATGCTTAAAGATATATTCAATGTCTGATCTGTTATTGTTACCCATCTAGCAATCACTGCCCTTCTTTATTAAGCTTTTGAAAAGCTCCCTGGTCTTTGAAGTTGATTCTGTGCTTGAAATTCAATACTTGACTGAGGGACCTTACAGATGTTGTATGTATGGGGGACAGCGGAAGGGTTAGTCATCCAAAAATCATGCCAACCCCTATTATTTCACACAGAGGGAGTCCATGTAACTTTATTATGTTATTTGTTAAGCCAAATTTTACTCCTGAACTAATTTAGGTTTGCCTAAACAAAGGGGCTGAATACTAGTTCTCATTTTTATTCATCTTAAAAATAAAAATAAAATATTCCACTTTGACATTACAGAGTAGTTTGAGTAGATTGTTGACAAAAAGATTTTTACACAAAAAATAAATGTGAATAAATCCGAGGGATCTGAATACTTTTGCAAGGCACTGTATACCCCATTCCCAAGTGTATAACCAGTATCATTATTTGTAGGCCTATACGTTGTACATTTTTGTTTTTCTTGCTTAAGTAACACATTTCGAGCTGCTGTTTTTGGCCTTTTACCCTCTTTTAGTTGTATATATGAATGGGGTTTAACGGGAACACTGTATCCATTGGATGGCTATACAATTGACTGACATGCTTTTTATTCTCTCAATGATATGACAGACGTTTTGTGCAGCTCAAAAATGTAATAAACAAAACCCTGCTATAATATTAACCGTGGTTTGTGGTTGGTTATCTGTTTGATATACACACCTTTCCTGACATCAGAATTATATGCATGTTCAACTACAGTGTAGTTGCTACATGCTCAAAAAATGCTTGCCAGGAGATTCTGGACGTTGATAAATAACCAGCTAACGGTTTGAGTAAAACGACAGCACCCAAGGTAAGTCGGAAATCAGCTAAACTAGATTAAAAAAAAAAAACGTTATATTAAAATAAACAATTCTGAAAATGAGCATAACTTTAACTACATGTCCCAAAATACTAGCCATTGCAAACATTTGCACCTGTGTAAATAAACTGATAGAATCAGATTGTTGTGTAACGTAGCCTCTTTATTTTTAATACAGTATGCCCATTATTTTTGTTTAATGTTTATTTGGACAGCAAAGACATTTAATTTGGCTCTATACTCCAGCATTATGGATTTGGAATCAATTGTTTTATATGAGGCGACAGTACAGAATGTCACCATTCATTTCTATTGGGCATAACATAATATCAACACGATTTATACACAAGGCGCAATCCATTCTGAGAGACTCCCAGCAGTCTTATTTATTGAATTTATGATACTTCCCTCAGATCACAGATACAGGCTCCCCAAGTTTAAAACTAACAGGTCTATCCGGTCCTTCACTACAGATGCTATCATCTTTGTCAATAACTTGTAGTAGTACTGTATACAGCTGTATATACTGTTTTCTTTCTTATATATAAATTTTTTTGGTCATGTGTTCATGTTGTTTTTATTACTTGCTGCAAAATGAATTGCCCCTAGGGAATAATAATATACCCCTCTCTACTCTACTCTTTTTAATGTTGATATATTTAAATTACAATTAAGTGGTGTTTAGTGAGCCATTGTTTGCAAAACAAAAACAAAATAAAGAGAATCTTGTTATTTTCCCAAATAGTTGGAGTTACTACCGGCATCTTATTTTGAAGATATATAGTTAATTGCAAGGTATTTTTATAATGTAGACTACAAATGCCGAAAATGCATGCTAGACTTACTATAACTGCCCAGAGGAGTTAGGAGTTATCAAGACAATAACAATGAGGATATATAAAATACTTAAATGGGATCACAAGGGATCTCCCTTATTAAAGTTGTAATTGTGGAACTTCATTATTTTCCATACATTGTTGTTGAACCTGGTCAGGACACAGTGACTGACAGAGATGCAATTCTATTGCTTTTTGTATAGGCTTGAGTGTCTTGTAAAGGAAAATCTGCCCTCTGTCTGACAGGATAGGCAATCTGTGTCAGACCAACTACCACCCTATGGGAGCTGTTATCTAAATAGTACATGTTTGAGAGGCAATTTCATGTTGGGCTGATCTGTGAACTGGAAGCACATTCCCAGTTAGGAGGGGAATGTTTCCTCACAGACCGCATGTAAGTCTGTGAAGAAACATTCAGATCACATTGCGTCTTTTGATTGTCTACATGTGTCGCCAAATTCAGGCACAATCTGAATGTGGACAAGATCAGGACAACGGACGTGTGTTAGAACCAG